CAGAAGAAATTAAATATTCCATTTTTCCTTGATTAAACCTTGCCCACAAAGTTTTCGATTGATCATTACGATGGTTAATAACGTCGATAGCACATCCTGAATATTCGGATACTGTTAGGGTTTTGGTTCGATGGTAAATTCAATGAAACTTATATATGAACTATGTTAAATTTTTTTAATATGTTAAATTTTTATTTTATGTTTCACATTAAAAATTAATTAATTCTCAACAGCTTAACACTAATTATCCCATAATCGGTGCGCCTAGCTTATAAAAGAAATAAAATCAAAAAATTCGACACTTCATTCACTCAATTGTATACACACCATTTTCACCCTTCATTATTATTTTAAACAATAATCAATTCTTTTTTATTTCATTGTTAGAATCATAAGTAATTCTTTTTAGTTTTATATTCCATTTAAATGTAATAAATCAAAACTACTTTTCATTGATATTGCAATGAACAATATTCTAAACAAAGAAAATAATGAGCGAATCTATTTCTCGGGAAATTTAAAAAAAAAGAATAAAGAAAAGTACATGAGAGTTTGCATTTAACAAAGTTAGTTAATGATGAGTCATTAGAGTTACGTACTTTGTTAAAGTTAAATGTGAGCCTGCGCACATGATGCTTTTATCATGAATTTTAGTTTCATTTCATTGTCTTCTCTCAGATTTCAAACCTTGAACATATTTTTTTTTTACTTTATAGAATTTTGATTTAACACAATTGTGTTTCAACTAAAACATAATGTATACGTCAGATAAAATTATTAACATAAATTATAATTTTTTTTTACTACATTGGATAACATTTTTGTTAAATTTAAATATAACTTGTAATATGTAATAAATATTTGTCTATTTTTTTTAGCTGAAACTGTTCTGCAAAAAAAAAAATTGCCAATCCTTTGTAGGCAAGAAAATAATGTTTAGAAAATGGTATCCAATAAAGTGAAATCAGAATTTCTATCCTGAAGTCTGCGATGTACGATTTAAAATAATTAAAACAAATTTAAAGGAATTAAGGAATTGGCATTTAGAACTTTAAAAAGCACTCACCGTAAGAAGAAGGTAATTTTATGAAAAAATAGAATATAATTAATATAAGTATCTATAGCAAATAATGGAATAAGTAATATCAAACAATACGTGTTTTGTAATATTGAAATGAATTTATTTTTCTAATGATTATAATTTACATTAAAGTTTAGTGTTACACTCTCTAGTAAATCTAAAACCTAAACTTTCTATTATGGCGGATTTTCGAAACAGTAATTTACAAAACAATATAGCCATTTCAAAAACATAATTGTTTTTGAACATCTCAAAAATTGGGACATCTGAAAAATTCAATTAGAAAGATCATAATTATCAATTATCTGAAGGAACTACTTCAAACAAATCCGTTTTATCATTACCCTCGGCATTCAAAAATTGATTGTGCCATTTCAGCAAAATTTCAGCTTCTGATAATTTCATATAAAGATCTTCGAAAGATGCAACATATAAGAAGATCCATACTAAAAAAAACAGTCCTAAATCGCAAATAGACAATTTCCTTGATCGCCTTAATTGTTGCCTTCTTGTACTTCCGTTTTGTATCTCTAATTATCAATATTTCTCGATCACTATTTAGTATGCAAGTTATATTTTTATTTTACTCTTTTGTTTCCTAATTTATTCTCAATACACCTCTTCATTTTCTCATCTCCTTCTGATAATTCTTCAAGATTACTATTCAGCATGTGTGTTACATTTTTCTCCCTTAACAACAACTTAATGCATTTCCCACCAAGAACAGAATCATTACAAGATTTTTTATAAAAATTTCTCGAAATTTTTGCATCGAATGCACCAGTTTATTTTACTAAATCATACAGGTTTGGGGGAAATAAATAAAATGAGATTTGAAGCATAGAATTCATCAAGACTCTCCATTACAGTAGTTGACACGATTGGTAAGCTAACGCTTGTAAAAGTTGAATATATTTCTGACGAAAAGAAAAAACATGACCACATCATTGCACCAAAAAGTATTCTTTGGGTTAAATAATTTGGCTCATTGGGCATACCCATTCCAAGTGCCATTCCTACGAGATACAAGATTTGCCAATTTATTAAATTAAATCGTGGATTTTCGGGCTACGATTCAAACTAAAATCAACAAGCTAATAATTATTAGGACATTTAAAATTTTCTAATTATTTGATAATTCTATTGATTTTTCCAAAGACTTTGGTACCGTAAAATGGGGTAAAGTCGGCGTTTGGGGGTAAAGTCGGCCGGCGCTTTAAATCATTTTAAAGTTTAACTATTACTTTTTTTCCAGAAGAAATCCGAGTTTTATTAAAAATGTAGTTAGAATTAATGTAAATTAATAAATGAAATACAATATTTAACGCCGACTTTACCCCATTTTACGGTACTAAAGCATAATAATGATATGCTTCATTAGTTTTAGCTATTTCCATTAAATTTTTATAACATCCTGACGATCTAATAGATTTACTGCCAAGAATTGAGCACCTGGATATAATAACTCGCGCTACGCTCGGCTGTACGCTCTCAAGCCAGTCAAACCTACAAAATGAGTAAGAAAATTCAAATTCAAAATTTTGATTTTTGAAAAGTACTACCTTGTAAGAAATAAATAGGCGCATCTTTTTTTCCTTTAACATTTTTTAGAAAAACGAATATTTTAAATAATAAATCCAAAAAACTAAAAAATCTTGATTCACAAATTTCATTAAGTTTTAAAACATAAATCATCGTATCTTTTACAATTATTAACGGATTTGATTAAAAATTAGTATACACACGCTCTTGGGTCCACTGAAGACGACAATATAGTGAAAAATTAAAAAATCACTAATTTCTTATTAAATTTTTAATATAAATATAGAGACCTGTCGGAAATCAGGTTTTCTTACATTCGGTGACAAAAAGTCTGCAGGAAAGTTTACAGTTGAGATAATTTCCAGTGAGGCATTTGTTTATTTCTATATAAAGTAGTTTTTTGGAAGTTTAATATTAATTTAATTAAATTAATAATTAATTTCACTTGATAATTAATTTATCATTATTAAATATTAAATTAATAAAGTTATATTGCATAAAATATTTTATACACAAAACAAATATTAAATATTTTAAAGATTGTTTACATAGCTATATTTGTTATAAATAAATTTTTAGTAATATGTGTACTCAAAGATGTTCAAATGTTTTTCAATATGTTAAGAAAATATTAAATTTTTACGTAATGTACAATTTAGAAAAAAAATTATAATTTTATGTTTATTATTAATTACCTACAAACCTAAAAATAGAAGTATGAATTTTTAAGAACATATTTAAAAGTATTAAATATGTATATAAAAATTGTTTACTTGGTTATTTTGTGTATAAAATATTTTATGCAATATAACATTATTAATTTAATATTTAATAAAATGCAATAAATATTTAATTGTCCTAACCAAAATTTGGTTGCGACAACTAAATAATAATTCGATTCGCTCTCAGCTCATAGCTTAAGAGAACAGTTAGTTTAAATCTCTCACAAGGATGGGTAGTCCAGTGGTCAGAGCTCCCGATCTCTCAGTTTTAAAACAGAGGTTCGATCCCAGGCGGAGATAAGATTTTTCAAAGTCCTTAAATATTTCAATTGGATAAATATAAATTCAATGTTAAATTGATAATAAATAAATAATGAAATGAATAAAAAAAGAAAAGAAATAAGGTAGAATAAAATTTTTAATTTTACAAAAAAAACTGTTTGTTTAATCAACCAAACATTTTTGTTGACCTAACAAAAAACACTCAACTGAATTTTTTGGTTGACTCAAACAAATAGTTTGGTTGCTCAAATACCAACAAAATTTTTTTGTTGGCCCAACCAAATTTTGGTTAGTCTTACTAAACATTTTTCTCAGTGTATTAACATTGTGCTCAACGAATTAGCATATTCATATCACTCATTAGCGATTAATTTCTTCATACTTTGGTTAAAAAAACTTTTTTTTATAAAATAATATTAAATATAAGTATTGAAATATTCTTAAAAGTAATTCCAATTTAATTTTTTCCTTCTATTTTTAATTTTTTAATTTTGATTTAATGTTTTCATAATTCCTCGTTTGTAGTAGAAAATATTTAAATTAAAAAATTAATTCACTGCATTGTAAAAAATATAAAAAAGTTTTCAAAAATTAATAACAAAAACACTAGTACAATTAAAGACAGAAAAGAAGAGAATACATTACATAATTGATTCTATTTTACAAGTTAGTATTCCTCTGTACTAATAATCAAGAAAAATATTTAAACAATAAACTTTTTATAAGAAAAATAAATGGAGAAAATATTTTTGTTTTTTATTTTCTTATAATTTTCTATAATTTTACTATTCCATCAATTAAATGACATTTTAAAACACTTTATTTTTACTAATTTTCTTATTTACTGCTTTGCCTTGTTGTTATCAAAAATGACAAATAACCCATAGATGTTTTAATTATCTGAAATACGAAAGAAAAGATTTATTGATTATTACTTTAATTGAGAATATTTTTAATTTATATTATGAAATAAGAAAAAAAATGACGGAGAAAACAATTTACTTGAATCAACCAAATATTTGGTTATTCTAAGTTCAACTCTAAAATTAGGCAAAATTGTTTTCATTTTAGTTCAACTTTAGAGTGAAAAAATAATTTATTTGATTCAAATACTCGATTTATTTGACTATTATCAAATAAATATTTACTTGAACCAAAAAATTTTTATATAAATTGTATTTGAACCAATAATTTCTGCGTATTTGATACAAATAAATATTTATTTGATAATTGTTAAGTAATCGAGTATTTGATTAAAATAAATTTTTTTTAGTGTATTTTATAGGATTATAATCAAACTACTGTTATAAATATATCTGATTGAAATTCAGTACATTTATATGGCAATTTGAGAAAAAAATAATATAACTTACACTTCGAAACAGAAGTAAATTGAGAACGCAAAATTTACCAGCTGTTATTGGTACTGGTTTGTGACCAGATTGCATTAGGAGAAGCAAACATTTTGCTTTCTGAGGAGGCAAGTGGTACCACACACAATCATAAGCTCTCTGAGCAAATGCAAAACTCTGAAAAAATTCAAGATTATAAATAAAAAAATGCAAAAAAAACCCACAATTTTTTTTATCAAATAATGGTATAGAAAAAGTAATTGTTAAAAAAATAAATAAATTATTTATTGGGAACCAACAAATTTTTCTCCTGTAAAATTAAGCTAAATAATTTCAATTCTATTTGCAATTCAACAGCCAAAATATTGTTCTGTTTTTTTAAAAAATGCAAATTTTTATTATTTAACAAAATTTTACGTGGAAATTATTTACTTGTATCTGTAGCTGTTCTCCCAAATAGCAGTATACATAAAAATTTCCAATCATATATGTAAGAAATACTAATATAAAAATGACATCTATTAACATCGAAGTGGAATTTTTTCCATTTATATACTGAAAATACAAAAAAAAGTAACTATAATTCTTATTAGAAATGATAATTGAATTTAATTAATTTGCATTAAAAGAGATGATATTTTTATTGAAACAAATTTTTAATGATACCTACTAATACAAGTAGAAAACCTTGCATACAAAATTGTATACTGCAACCAATCAATTGAACCAGAAACATTAAATAGAAAGTGTTTTCTAAAATTGTGATACAACTAAATATATTTTTATTAGTTTTTCATCATAATATAATTCCTACTTATATATTATATTATAAAAAAATTAATTTTTACAATACTGGGAAGTAGAATGAAATTTTTTTTATTTTTTCGAGGCTCATTTGTGAAAAATAAACAAAAATTTAACAATATAAACTTTTTTAAATTTTAATATATTTATATTTTATGTCAATTGGCCTAGGACTCTTTAGAAAAACCCTCAAGTAACAATTTTCAAGCGATTTCATTGAATTTTTAAAAATATATCCACCATATTGGATGCGCCATTTTGAATTTTGAAAATGTAACTTCAGATTTGTAATCAGCAATCCAAAAAAACCACTAGTAACAAGTTTCAAGCGAATCTTTTGAATTTTTAAAAATGTGTCTGCCATATTGTATCTGCCATTTTGAATTTTAAAAATCTGACTTCAGATTCATTATCAGCGACCCCAAGAACATAAGAGCCACTTTTTATTTGACAGAGTATGAGCTGACAATTATTTTGAGTCGTATTAAGTGATTAAGCTGGTTTATAGTCAAACATTCTTAGTGTATAAATTCTACAATTATGTAAAATAATATAAGAACACAATTAAAGAACCTGTTTATATGGTCGTGAAGATCAACAATGTGGCCAAATTTTTTATCGAATTTATAATCAACTTTTGTAATTTTAAAAGTATTGACAATGTCTGTAAGTTTTATACTTAAAATAAGATATTCCCCAGAAAGATGTAAAACAATTTGACTAAAAAAAGCGTCAGTGCCAGAGTAGGCAACCATTCCTAAATATAAACCAAATAATTGAATAATGTAAGTTATTTCAAAAACTGGACTATAATTCCAAGTAAATGGATAATAGCCTTCAACAAATAAAGTATAATTTTTGTAGTGATCTGAACTACTCCAATTACTTAAATTTTCAAATATGCATTGTATAAGACGCGCAATCATTGCTGCATGTCCCAAGAACATACATAAGAGTGCAATTTTTTTACCCTCGTCACCCTTTTTCATCATTATCTTTATTTCTTCATTACTTCTTGTTTCTTTCCAATGATTAACTATGTTGTTATAGAGAATCGTCATTTCTAATAAATAAAAAATAATTATTGTTATAAATAAATTATATTCGTACAAATTCGAACATTATATCTATTATTAGAATATCTTTTAAAATAGTATTATGTTTCCTCACAGCAACGGATATTACAGAATATTTTTTAGACATCCTAGGGATATCATTTGGTTCAAGGAAATTAGGATTTCCCTAACATGTGCCAGGGTTGTCCATAGACGTCCACGAAAAGCCTAGGAATATCCTAATTTACCCGGACAAAATGGTATCCCTATAGGACGTTCGTTTCCTAAACATTTGGATGCTCTTAGGATTAATATTGCACTGTAAAATTCAAAATATTTATCCTAAATAATAAGAAATTTCCTTATTAAGAAATAACCCTCGATTTTGGAATTGAAAGACAGTTTTTGATAAAACTTAGCACACTGGTAGATGTTTGTTTAAAAAAGATATAGTTAAATTTATAGAGGTCGAGGTTGTCTATGATAAATATTATAAACAATTTTATTTTTTCACATTTAACATGGTATCTTATGGGAGAACTCTCTTAATTTCCCCCACAGAACTGAAACTTTCCTAAAGATTTCCTAAAGATTTATTTGAAATGTTCGGAATATTTAATTGCAATGTTTACTGAAAATTGTGTAAAGATTTAAATGTCCCGATTAAATAAATGTTCTGGAAAGTTTCGCGCTAAACATTTATTTAAGTGGAAGATTTAAATCTTGACACAATTTTCATTAACACTGCAATTAAATATTCCGAAAATTTCAAATAAATCTTTAGGAAAACTTTAGGAAAGTTTCGGTGCTGTGGAGGTTGAATCAGTGGAATTTCACTGGTGAAATAGATAGAAGTCGGTTACTGAATCATTTAGTGAAATTTTCAGTGAAAATCAGTCATATATTGTGACGTGACAATTTCGACACGTCACACCCGAGTTGAAATTGTCTGAGATTTATTTATTAAATTCTGCGAAAATAAACTTGAAACCCTCCTTTTGGACACTTACGCGAGAAATCTCTGCTCCACGACTCGACAATCGATAGATAGAAATTTATTTGATTTTTTTTTGTTTACTGTTCTTGAATTTTTTTTATGTATTGCGCTGAGCGATTCATGGACTACACTGTATTCTACATGAAACTACAAGGAGAAAACATATTGGTCATTTGGACGTTCGAGATCCACCCATGTACTATTTTGGCTGTTTGCTGCATCATTTTGACTGTTTGCTGCATTATTTTGACTGTTTGCTGTATTATTTTGGCTGTTCGACACCACTTTTACTCGTTTGGTAGATGACGTCTCACCACTGCAAAGTTTGATGCTTGGAGCACACTTACAAAAAATGCTCTCTTTAACCGTTTTGCTGTCCACACACACTTCTTGGCCGTTTTGGATGCCACTTCAATTTTATTTGGCTGTTCTGATCGCCATCTGCACTTTAACCGTTTTTGGAACCGATGCTGTTGTTTTCTTTGCACACTATTGAAAGATGTCACTCCACTTTTGGCTGCTGCCACCAATTTTGTCGTTGGATGTTCCAACCCACTCGCTGGCACCACTAAGCCAACTAATCATTTATCGAAAGCCTCGATACCAACTCGCAATATCGCCTTGGTTGCCAATTAACTGGACGACAACGCCAATGACCCAATATTTATGTTATTAACCAAAGATGAGTTCCAGAGTCAACCAAGTTTTGTAAAATCGCTCAAGTTTTCTTTTAAATTCTATTTCGATAAACAACTAAAAATTTAGAATTTTGCCATTTGCGTTGAACCTTAAATTACATTAAAATCAAATTGTATTATTGCGTATTATTATTAATTTTGACATTTCCGCGTTTAAACTTGAATTATTGATATATTTTACTATACGATTAATTTTGTTAATTTTCAAGATTTATTGATATTTGATTTATTTTAGTTAATTTTATTGATTATTCTAGAGATATTATTGAAAGAAATAATTTATTTGTAAATTATTACTAATTAACATATTTTGAATTTGAAAATATTTTGCCGCCACGGCGCTGTCTCGAACTAATGGCGCGCGCTACTAGGTCAGTTTAGGTTAGATTAGGAACTACGCTGCAACCGGCACCTTGCCGAAAAACGTGGTTAGACACACACGCTTGACTTCGCTCGTTTCGCCTCTCGACCCGTCATATAGACAAAAATTATATATATTTTTTTTGTGTAAAAAGTGTCCAATTAGAGTAAATCAAGTCACGGAAGCTGCCTTAACTCTTGGAATATTCGGTGAGTCGACACATTTCTCTAAAGAATATACACTCTTTATGTTTTGATTATATTAATTTTGATTTTATGTATAAGAGTGTGTATTCTATATTCTATTTGAAATGACGCCACTGTCGACCGCATGGTTGAATTTTCTTTGCTCGCGTATATTTTTCTCTTATTAATATAATTGCGTAAATTTCAAATATTATTATAATGATGTTCATTTCTTCTTATTTTTCTTGATTATTTTATCGTGTTATTTTATATATTTTGTGATTTCCGAACTTGATCAAATTCGTCATTGATTCCTTTGCCGAGTGTCGTTTCATTGATTTTCCCTGTGTGTATCAGTCAAATCAAAATGTCGCGCTTTCCCTTAAAGTCAAGTGAAATTATTTAGTGTAGGAAAATTTTAAGTTTTTTTTATTGCGTATCAACTATGAGTCGAGAAGGCCTAATTAAATTATTTAGCGTATTTATTATTTTATATTGTCGATGGAGCCATTTTTAGAGTTTTTGTCAATTTTTTATGTGTACGATTTTTTTATCGATTAATTTATATTATGTGACGGACCAATTATTGATTATTTTATTTAAGATAATTAGAACAAGGAATGATTTTCTCATTTTGTTAAATTTAGTTAGGATGAATTTTGAATATATTTTATTGTCATAATGGATTTTATTGTGTATTAAATTTGCCGAAACACTCTCATTGGAAACCTTCGCCCAAATGTTCCTGAATTTAAGGAGCTAGCGTGATGTAAAACTTTTTTTGATTTTGACCGGTAAACAATATTTAAGTAGCGATGATTTTCATGTAATGATTTCCGAAAATTTTGTTGATTTTGTTATTTTGGTAAATTTTGATATTTTTGATTAATTTGAATTTTGGGTCATACTGGCCATTTTCCCTAAATATTTGAATTAATTTTAATTTATTATTGCTAATGGATTAACTTGGTAGTCTCGGTCCTTAGAATAATAATCTATTTATTGTTACTTTGGGATTAACTTGGTAGTCTCGGTCCCTTAGAACAATGAATATTTTGAATTTGATTTTGTTGCTGAAACGGTTTATTTATTAACCTGGCGCCCAAAATTTATCCGTTTAAAATCATTATAAAACTAAAATATTGTTCCGAAGGTGGTCGCAAATATTCTCTATTTGGCAGAGATCGCGATTATTAAAAATTTTACAATTTTGAATTTTTTTTTTGAAATTTGAAAATATTTTGAATTTTGAGAATTTAGTAACTTTTCTGATTTTGACTTTGCCCTCGCCATTGTAGAATTTTTAATATCTCACAATATATCACTAATTTTCACTGGATATCAGTGATATATGACTAATTTTCAGTGAAAATTTCACTAAATGATTCAGTAACCGACTTCTAGCTATTTCACCAATGAAATTTCACTGATTCAAATTGAAAGAGATTGCATTTTCATCATCTTTAAAATTTAATTGTAAGAAATATGACAAACAGGTATTAATATAACTTTTTAAAGTTAAAGTTAAATAACTGGTGTTTAAATAATTTCCAAAAAAATTATCAGACCTCACCTATGAGACTTAAAATTAATTATTTTGTATAAAAAAACATCTTTTTTTATTAATCAGCAATTACTAAGTACAACGCGTGGCAACGTTGCTTCTTGAAGGTTAGGGTATACAAGAAGAGCGAAATTTGAAATTTCTCAAGTAATATAAATCGTATCCATGAAGTAGTATAAGGAGCACTCACTACTTGTTAAGCATATAAGTCCCCTGCATGAGAATAAATCCGAAATTTCATATCTCCGATTATGACGCCTCTAGCGGAAAAGCGGTGTACTTAGAAGTTTTCAAAATATGGCTGCGCCTAGTGACAGCTGTTCTCAATAGTAAATATTGTAAAGGTATATAATAATAATTTTAGAAAAAGTGTAAAAATTTTTGATCTCAATAAAACTATTTGACTTGACTTGAAAAGAAAGAAAAAAGTTACACACCAAAATTTTAAATAAAACATAAATTTTTTGAAAATATATTTAAAAATTGGTAGGTTTTTGCTTATTTATATACGAATATATAATTGAGATTTTTAAAATATTTGTTTTCAATTATGTTTCATAATGAAATAATAAAGGAATTGCAATAATTTGTTGTAAGTTATATAAAAATAAAAAAAATAATAAAAATATAATTAATTTTTTTTCATTGTAGTCGTATATATTTCAAGCGAAATTTCTTAATTTTTTTTTATTTTTAGGTTATATTTACATGTAAATAAACAAAATATAGTGACAAGTTCAGCAAGTATTTTGTTAACATTCTCAAATACATACAAAATAATTTGTATCAAGTAAAGTTGCCTATGTTAATGCTGATTCATTGATCAATTTAGCAGCCTCATTTTTCACTTTTTTTATTTATAATTACACAAAATTAACTCGCATCAAACACATTTAAAAAAAGGCCAACTGACAGTTATATACAAACACTTATTTAACAATGTACCACGTGACCTGTAATTCTACGCTTTTCCGCTAGGGTTGTTAGTATCGGGGATATGCAAGTAAACATAGTAAACTTCTATTAAATCTGGAAAGGCTGGGAAAGAATTTTCAAAAACGGCCTATAGAGTGGATGCTCCTTATACTACTTCATGATCGTATCATTACGCTAAAGACAGACGCCAAACCAAACCTTTTTTCATTAGCAATGTCTGTTAAAGACAAAGTCGAATTGCAATTTTCACAAAACTTATTGTTTCGATAATGTTTTCACATGGAGTAGTATAAGGAGACCGAACGACCATGTTAAATCTGCGCTAAAAGTGGACCACTTTTTGGGGTACCTACTAAACCTCAAAAAATACGGAATGGAACACTAGCGCCACTGATTGTGTCAAACTCAGCTGGACAGTCACCCATTGTAAAAGTAATGAAAATAAGGATAGCAATGTATTTTTGTGTTATGTTCAACGTATTTCCAATTTTTGCCACTGTTTACATACAGTCGAATCTCCCATAAGTTAATTCTGGTGGGGGGGTTAACTTATGAGAGAATTGCCGCGTAAGGAGAAATAGTTGCGCAGTGACCTATTGCGCATGGCGGTCAATTTCAAAATATATGTTTGAAGTCTTGTGAAGTAAATGAGTTATTAGAAATGTTTGAATATTTAATTTAATATAAGTTTAGTTGACTGTGAAAAACATTGTCGGTACATACTTGTATTATTCTTTTAACTACTTTTATTAATTTTATAAATCATGGACGGAATTTTATTCATGATAAAATATTATTTGAGTTAATTGGAAATATTATTAAGGAATTAATATTCGTAAATGATGCAGCTACATCAGTGAAACAATTATTTAATAATTAAATTAAATTAAAAAAACAAAATTCAATTAAATTAAAAGAAAATTCTTTTAAACATGAATCGAATGTTTTTATTCTAGGTAGTGGTTATTCTTATGGGAGATTCGACTGTACTTCCCACGAAAGCGCTTGTGTTCTTAAAAACTTTTTGGCTAGGCTAACTTTTTTATACTTCCAATAATAATTTTTTGATGGTTTCACAGAATTTTCTTCTAATAAATTTAATTCCAACATGATAATCAAAACATTTGCAGACGATAGGAAGTATAAAATGGAGGAGAAACAAATACAATGTTGCCAAGCGTTGTTGCGTTAGTACTGATTGGTTCAAATGAAACCTTAAATGATTGTTGTTTTGACTATTAATGCAGGGAGGGTTCTTTCTTAACATTCATTAAAAGAAAAAGATACAAACTTTCTTTTTTATAAAAAAGTACGCTCATTTTTGTCAATGCAATCAAATATGGTATTTCTGCAACTGAAATAATGTGGGTCATGTGGTCAAAATTATCTCGAACTTGGATTAATTTAATGCCTTGTGGTATGACAACAGTCAATGTTATGATTGTGATACTGATAAAAAATAACACTGTTGATAATGTTTTATTTGTATGAGATGGCCATACTCCAAACCATGCAAGACTTAAGCGAGTGTATGTTGTCAAAACATGTAAGGCTAAAAAATAAATTTGACATGAGAGTAGTAGTTAAAAATTGTAGAATAAAATTAAATTACAAAGCTATGCAATAATTTTTTCCAGCTTATGAAAGAAATAAACTCAAAAAATTCAACACTTCATTCACTTTTGTAAACACACCATTTTCACCCTTCATTGTTATTTTAAAAAATAATCAATTCTTTTTTATTTCATTGTTAGAATCATATGTAATTCTTTTTAGTTCTATATTGCATTTAAATGGAATAAATCAAAACTATTTTTCATTGATTAAAAGTCAACAATAATTATTATTATTATATCAATGACATATTAATAGAAAAATGTTTAATGTAGCAAAATAAAATATGTAACAGTGATTTAAAAAAAAATTTAATTAGTATGTAAAAAATATGGATGTAGAAATATTGCAATAAACAATATTCTAAACAAAGAAAGTATTGAGCGAATTTAGTTCTCTGGAAATATAAAAAAAAGAATAAAGAAAAGTACATGAGAGTTTGCATTTAACAAAGTTAGTTAATGATGAGTCATTAGAGTTACTCGTACTTTGTTAAAGTTAAATGTGAGCCTGCGCACATGATGCTTTTATCATGAATTTTAGTTTCATTTCATTGTCTTCTCTCAGATTTCAAACCTTGAACATATTTTTTTTTACTTTGTAGAATTTTGATTTAACACAATTGTGTTTCAACTAAAACATAATGTATACGTCAGATAAAATTATTAACATAAATTATAATTTTTTTTTACTACATTGGATAACATTTTTGTTAAATTTAAATATAACTTGTAATATGTAATAAATATTTGTCTATTTTTTTTAGCTGAAGCTGTTCTGCAAAAAAAAATTGCCAATCCTTTGTAGGCAAGAAAATAATGTTTAGAAAATAGTATCCAATAAAGTGAAATCAGAATTTCTATCCTGAAGTCTGCGATGTACGATTTAAAATAATTAAAACAAATTTAAAGGAATATTTTAAGGAATTGGCATTTAGAACTTTCAAAATCACTCATCGTAAGAAGAAGGTAATTTTATGAAAAACATAAAATATATTTTTTAATTAACAAATATCTAACACTTTGAAGAAAAAGTCTCTAATATCGTGTACGCGTCACTGTTAATGTTTTTTTTGTTTTCTAATCCACCAACCGTAAAACTTAAATAATTGATAGGCTTAGGCTGGGTGGAGTGGCTCACGTTTCTATTGTTACCCACAAAAGTGCCAAAAAATTAATTTTCAATGAGTTTAGTGTTTTACTCCCAACTAAATGTAAAATCCTAATTTTCTATTATCGCGGATTTTCGAAAAAATAATTTACAAAAAAATATAGCCATTTCAAAAAATGTTGATGATGGACATCTCAAAAATTGGGAGGTGCAGTGGTTCATCCGAAAAATTTACTTATCATGTGCGTGTATTTTAATAAATAATTGTCAATTTCATAATTATATAATAATAATAATTTTAAAATAATTAGGTAAATTAAAAAAATTTATTAAATATTCAAATTAATGTTAGAATAAATTTTTCATTTATTTTAGTGACACTTTTTGTGTATACAATTAATAATTGATCATATAAATAATGCATTTTGCATGATGTAAATATATTTAAATAAATTTAGAAGTCGATTGCAAAGAAAAGTTTATTATTCAAAATTATTTTGTGTTTTATGATATAGAACTACTTACTAAATAACATTGAATGTTAAAATATTTAATTCAAAATAATAACAACATTTCTAGTTTCACAATGTTATTGAAATTAATATTCGAAAAACTTTATTTTACAAAATGTATTTAATCATTTTTCATGGTCCTTTTTTAGTAGAGAGCATTTTTGATTTATTTTTACAATTTTTTACTTCTTATTGCTTTGTCTCGTTGTTATCAAAAACGACAAATAACCCATTGATGTTTTAATGATCTAAAATGTTAAAGAAAAATTTATCGATAAATTTTTATATTTTCTATTTATGTGCGCTTATTTTATAAATTAATCCTTAGTTTCTTTCAGAATATATTTCATTTAATTCAATTAATAACAGTTGTTCTTAATTCAACTTTATTTTTAGAATAATCAAAAACATTATAATTATAAAAACAGAAAGTATGTAATAATTAAATGTTCAATAACTCTAAATAATGATACAAAGAATATTTAACTTTAAAAAATTTACTATGAAGATTTACGAAAATAATATATTTGTAACTTACATTGTGAAACAAAACAAAATTGAGAACGCAAAATTTACCAGCTGTTATTGCCACTGGTTTATGTCCAGACTGCATTAGAAGAAGTAAATATTTTGCTTTCTGAGGCGGCAACTGGTACCACAGACAATCATAAGCTCTTTCAGCAAACATAAAACTCTAAAAAAAATTCGACTTATACAAATATTGTTCTGTTTTTTAACTATAGGAGAGACTGGGTCAAACCGGCCATGTTAACAGTTGTAAGGCTCTAGTAACTAAAGAAACTAATGGAAAACCGTTTATAATAGCTTGTTGAAAAGGTCATCTAATTGCGCAACTTTTTTCTAGAGACACCACGGTGCGCCAGAAGGTGGTTTAAATAAAAATGAATTGGCACTTAAAAATTCTTCTTGATTATTATGATTCTTAGATGAATAACAAACATTTCTCAATAGTTTTTAAAATCAGTTTACGTGCCCGATTAAAATAAAATTGAGTTTTTATATAAAAACAGTGTTTTATGGGGAATCACAATTTATTTAATCTAATAAATACTGTAATAAATGATAAAATAATTACTTATTTTCAATTTTACATATAAATAATTATATTGCTGTAGTGTTTGTGTCCAATTTTAAAAAATTAAATTATAATGTTAAAAGAACGATTTTAAGAGTGACAAAATTTATTTAAGAGAGTCTAATGGTCTCTGAAATTTTTTGGCAAGAAGAGACCTTTAATTATCGCTCTATAAAAACGGCACTAAACGTGAAAATGGTAAACATTAATTTTAAAATACTTTCTTCTCGAAAGACAGACACTTTTTACAAAAGCAGCTAGAGATCCTTATCTTATATAAATTTCATAAATCCTAAAGATTATACGAATCCATACAGAAACACGATTGCAAAACGAAAAGTAATATAATGACAGGTACATTACCTCCTGCCGCCGTCAGATGGCAGCAGCATGCAGGGCGCACAAAGTCGCAGCTGTTATTAGATTACTTTTCTACTTTTTGTTTTGCAACCATGTTTTTCTATGAATTCGTACCGTCTTTTGGATTTAGGAAATTTATAAGATGAGGATTTTGGCTGATTTTGTTAAAAGTGTTCGTGTTTCGAGAAAAAAGTATTTTAAAATCAATACTATTTCACGTTCAGAGCGATAATTAAAGCTCTCTTCTTGCCAAAGAATTTCAGATACCGTTCGACACTCTTAATGTGCATAAATATAAAAACGAAACAAGAAAATAACTTCATTGTTAATAAATTTATATGAACCCAAATCTAAAACATCTATTATCTATACGCATATAAGTATACATTAAATAAATTCTGGTTCCTCATAAAACAATATTTTTAAATATTTAAATCTCAATTTGTTTTAAATTGGGCACGTAAGCTGATTTTAAAACCTATTGAGAAAAGTTTTTTATTTATCTTAGAACCATAATCAAAAAGAATTTTTAAGTGCCAATTCATTTTTATTTAAACCTCCTTCTGGCGCACCGTGACACATGTACCTTAAAATGTACTGTTTAAATCTCCGTAAAGTGGACAAAGATTCACGAAAGCGTGCACGAATTTTTTAGTTGATAGGTAATCTTCGTGAATTTCTGTTACAAGGGAAACAGACATAGGCCGATTTGCCCCACAGGCTCATTTTGACAATTAAGATCTGTATAAAAAAAAATGCTTAGTAAAATCATTAAATTATAAACCGATAAATTTAACTGAGGCATGCACCTTTTAAACCTAAAAAACAATTTTAATAAATATTACACGATTTTCTCACAAATTGTTTATGAACAGATCTGTAAAAATTTCTAGCGGAAGCGAAAAAACAAACTTTTGTTTATAAAATTGCATAAACACAATTAAAAAATGTCAAACTGAAGAAATAAGTTATTCTTATTATAGTCTTTTCAAATTTATAATTGACATATTTTAAAATTTGACCAATTCTGAGAAACTAACACCTGTCCGGTTTGCCCCAGTCTCCCCTATGTATATGCAGGGTAAATTGTTGCTGAAATTATTTACTTGCATCTGAAGCTGTTCACCCAAATAACAATACACATAAAAATTTCCAATCATACATATGAGAAATACTATTATAAAAAGGACATCTATTAACATTGAAGTCGGATTTTTGTCGTTTACATACTGAAAATACAAAAACAATAACTAAATTTCAATTTAGAAATTAAAAATGAATTAATTTAGAATTTACAATAAAAATAGATACAATGGAATCTTCTAAGAGCGGTATTACCGTGAGCGAACAAACTATCAGCGCGGTGTGGTAAAGAGTGAGAAAGCAGGAGTGTCTGCTTTTTTGTGTGTACCGTTACTCTGCAAGCAGTTTTATTGGCTTATTAATTACTTAATTTTGAAAAAAATATTAATTATAAAATGACAACTAACAGTACTTTATTATAAAAACAAAATTTATTAATATTTATAATAATATATATGTAAAATATATTCTGCTAAAAGCAGTAGTTATTAATTGTACGGCCCTGAGTGTTTACAGTATTCGACGTCAGGTGGCGTCAAGGACATTTTTCCGTAGAGCGGTCTAAGCATAGAGTAGTATAAGGAGACCGAACGACGTACATTGAAAGTGGACCAAATTTTGGTAACCGCTTAGTGTCATGAAAATACGTAATGGAACACAAGCGCTCTCGTAGGAAGTATGTAAACAGTGGGAAAAATTGGAAGTACGTTGAACATAACCCAAAAATACATTGCTCCTTATTTTTAAAACTTTTACAATGGCTGACTGTCCAGATGAGTTTAACACAATCAGTGGCGCTAGTGTTCCATATTACGTATTTTCATGACACTAAGCGGTTACCAAAATTTGGTCCACTTTTAACGCAGATTTAACATGGTCGTTCGGTCTCTTTATACTACTCCATGGGTCTAAGACTAATGCCGTACACTCTTCGGAGATTCCAGTGTATATATATATATATATATATATTTTTTTTAATGATACTTACCAAAACAAGAAGAAAACCCTGCACACAAAATTCGATACTGTTAGCGATCAATTGGACCAGAAACATCAAATAGAAAGTGCTCTCTAGGATTGCGATACAACTAAATTTTTTTTTATTAGTTATACATATATAATTTATATGTGTCCTGACGCGGTGAAAGGGATCTTATGGTCCAATTGCAAATTGTACTTTAAATGTTCATAATAAAAAATGAATTGAACAAAATAATTTCTAATTTTTGGAAGTCAAATTATTTGAGTTGCTCTTTCATTTCCAAAAACTAGAAATTATTTTGTTTAATTCATTTTTTATTATGAACATTCAAAAGTACAATTTGCTATTGTACCATAAGGTCCCTTTCACCACGTCAGGACACATTTAATGGGCCAGTTGATCCACCTCCAGTTAAGAGTTACGGAAAAGTTTATCTGTGGGATAGAATAATTTCGTGTTGATCCACCTCCGAATAGCGCTAATTAGCACTTCGTTAACTGACAGATAAATTGTGACTCATCTGAAAGTTACTTATCAGCCAGATGAAGTGACAAATAACGAATTTAACTGTCAGTTATAAGCGCAAAAGTGAGGTTAGATTGCTAAATTTGACGCATGGTAAATTTAAAAGTATTAGTGTTTATATATTTTTCGTCAAAAGTAATAATTTCTCTTTCCGAATGACGTGACTTAATGCTTTGTACATTTTCTGTACAGTTAAACCTTCCGATAAATTTATCCTCCTAGATAACTCTATATATGACATTTTATTAAAAGGTGGATTAACTGCCCATAAACGTTATATTCTAAATAATTGTTTACTTATTTTTATTTACATTTTATTATATTATTTCAATGTACTTGTAAAAAAAAAGTTAAATTCTTAATGTTTTTAATCAGTGTATAAAAAAAAAAAATGTAAAAACCTTCTTATATGGTCATGAACATCAACGATGCGACGAAATTTTTTATCAAATTCATAATCAACTTTTTCAACATTAAAAGTATTGACAATGTCTATGAGTTCTAATCCTAAAACAAGATATTCTCCAGAAAGATGAAAAACAATTTGACAGAAATAACCGTCAGTACTAGTATAAGCAATCATTCCCAAATATAAAGCAACCAATTCAACAACGACAGTTAATTCAAAAATTGGACTATAATTCCATGTATACGGATAATAAGCTTCCACATATAATGTAAAATTTTTGTAGTGATTTTGATTATTCCAATTATTTAAATTTTCAAATGTCCATTGAATCAAACGTGAAACTACCGCTGCATGTCCCAAGAATATACAAAAAATAGCAAATTTTTTACCCTTCTCACCATTTTCCATCATTATCTTTAATTCTTTATTACTTCTATTTTTTTTCCAATGATCAACCATGTAGTTGTAGAGAGTCGTCATATCTAATAAAAAAAATGTTATTAATGTTATATAAATTAAATTACATATATGTATGTACATTAAAATATATAATATTTACTTTAAAAAACTTTTAAACATAATTTATTACAGCCAAATGGTATAAAAACATACTAGGAATTAATTTTTCAAATTGTATAACTAATCAGGTACACTAGTTTACAAAATAAAAAAAATTTTGATCTGCGTCATTTCACTGTCATTTCTCATATCTCCGAATGCAGTTGACTGATTTCAATTTTCTTTGCAGAAAATTAAAGGTGATTTAATTTCCAACGGTTTAGAAGATATTTACTAATTTGTCTAGAATTACATATTATTTTTAACAAATTTTTCGAAAATAATTGACGTTTCTTGTAAATTGCATAATAAAAAACGTAATTTCTTGACTTCAAATAATCCTCACTAAATTTTTAAGATATTGCTAAACCCCAATCTTTAATTTATATTTTGTATATATAATTATATTAATATAAATAAACAAATAAAAAGTACCTTTTTCCTGTGAAACGTATGAATATCACAACAAAATCGAAATATTTTTTATTATTAGCCACTTAAAGTACTCCTACAGATTTGGGATTTGTAAAATTATGTTCTAGTAGAACACACGTAATTTGTTATAAACAAATTATATAAACAAATTACTAATTATTAATTTAACCGATACCTTTTATTGATCCTTGTAAAATGTTTTACTTGGGGGTTTTCGGGGTCGCTGATTACGAATCCGACGTCAGTTTTTCAAAATTCAAAATGGCGGATCCAATATGGCGGAAAACTTTTGAAAAAACTTAATATATTCGTCTAAAGTTAGTAGTTTCCAGTGATTTTAAATATTTATCCGCCATGTTGCACCCGCCATTTTGAATTTTGAAAAACTGACTCCGGATTCATTTTCAGAGACCCCAAAAACACCCGAGTAGAGAGTTTCAAGCAAATCCGATCGATTTTTTCAAAATTTGTCCGCCACATTGGATAATAAATCATAAAATTCGATAAAAAGTCATTTTCTGTATTTTTACTAAAGTGTCTATATCTTCAATATTTTTTGTTCAATTTTGATCTGCAATGGCTTATTTTCTTCCTACGAGATTATACTTTAACGTCCATGAAAAAAAACCGGAAGTAATTACGTTTTTTATTACGCAATTTACAAGAAAAGTCAATTATTTTCGAAAAATTTGTTAAAAATAATGTGTAATTCTAGACAAATTAGTAAATATTTCCTAAACCGTCAATTTGAATAAAAAATATTATAAATTCTTTTTTATTGGAAATTAAATTACCTTTAATTTTCTGCAAAGAAAATTGAAATCAGTCAACTGCATTCGGAGATATTTGTAAATTAGTGAACGCACTTTTTTTTGAAACTCAAAAAACTGAAATTTAGCTATATATCTCGAAAACTGTTCTACTTTCTTAACTATCTCTGACTTCATATTGAGATTCAGGAGCAAATTTTACATGAGAAATGACAGTGAAATGACGCAGATCAAAATTTTTGTAAACTAGTGTTATAAAAGTATTTCATGTTTTAGAAGTCTGTTTTTGGTATCCCAGTTCAAAAAGGTTAGGTATAGGGGATTAAGCATTCAAAAAGTGCCTCCGTAGCTATTTAATTCAAATTTGCATATTTTAAAGTACTCCTATGAATAAAAAATTCTGTATAATTGATACTTTTTTTGGGGATTATTTTTTAAAGTGACCACTCTAATTTTTGTTAAAGATACCTTATAATGTCCTCTTTAACATATTTTTTCAGATTTTAAAAAAATGTAGTTTTTGATTAATTTAACGAAAACCATCGTCGCGCAACATTTTCGAGAAAAATATGTTTTTTGATTTTCCTTTCCCCTCCATAACTCCCCCAAAAATGCGTATTAAGGGTTCATAGTTGCAGAATTTTTTATTCATGGGGGTACCAATATATGATGCCAATTTGAATTAAATAGTTGCAGGAGTAATTTTTGAATTATTAATCCCCTATACCCTTTTTGACTCTATTAAAATAACGCGGCTAATGTAAAAATCTGTTTGACATTATTTTATAAAAATTAATTGACCACATTTAAATTTTTGCACGTACAGTGTAAAATTTAAAAAAATTGGGTCGCAATTTAAATTCAGACATTTACAAAATGAAAAATTAAAAAAATTATTAAAAGATCATTTTTTTTTAAACAATACAAACTTTTTTTATTGTAATAAAGTACGATCATTTTTGTTAAAACAACCAAATACGGTAATTCAGCAGTAGAAAGAGTTTGTGTCAGGAGGTCAAAATTATCACGAACTGTAATCAATTTAATGCTTTGTGGTATGAGTACACAAATTGTTATAATTGTAATATTGATCAAGAACAACATTTTTGATAATTTTTTATTTTTATTCGATGGCCATGCTCCAGACATTGAAAGACATATACGAGAGTATTTCATCAAATCTTCAAAGGCTAAAAAAAAGCAATATAAGATGAAGAAGAAAAAATAAAAAATTTTACAATATCTTTTCATTTTTGTATACACACCACTTTCATTAGTCATTGTTAACTTTAGGAATAAGTAGTTAATATTTTAATTTTTCACATAGAATAATAATGTAGTAACTAATATTATTAAATAAATTTTTTTTATCAATGGGTGCCTTATTTTGCAAATAATGGAATTTCTTTGGTTTTAGGTTTTTTGATATATTTTTTTAAAATCAATTCAAATATAATTATTATTTGAAACATTAAGACCCAATCAAATAGTAATAATGTAATCCCTGTCAAAAGTTTCTAATTAATGTTCAAACAGTTTTAATAAGTATTATTCCGAGGCATTTCAAAATTTGTTTCAAATCCAATTAATCTTCATCCGAATTCGAACTCAACAAAATATTCTTTCTGAATCAATCCGTTTGATTCTAAAGCTGAATTTTAATTCATTTCTATTCTATTATTTTTTCTTCCCAAATCAATTAGTTTCATTCCGATAATAAATTTTAATGCTTTTAAATCCTGTTATTTCATTTCAAAAAAATTCCATTTGATATGAAACAGATTAATTAGAAATAAAAAATAACCGGATTTAAAATTAAAATTTAGTTTTAAATCCAAACGAATTGATTCGGAAAGAATAAAAGACAGGATTGAAAAGAATTAAAATTTAGTTTCAGAATGAAACTAATTGGTTCGTACAGAATATTTTATAGAGTTACATTAAAATTTAGAAACTAATTGTTTGGAAAATAAATTTCGAGGAATGTCTCGGAATAATATTCATTACAACTGATTGAAAATTAATACGAAACTTTCGTCAGGGATTTTTGCAAAATAATTAACACCCTAATACTTAGTACTTGTAATTTAATAAAATTTAAATAGTATATGTGGAGAATATGGAGATAGAAATACTGTGATGAGCAATATTCTAAACAAAGGAATATTGATTAAATTTATTTCTGCGAAAATAAAAAAGAATAAAGAAAAGTACATGAGAGTTTGCATTTAACAAAGTTAGTTAATGACAAGTCATTAGTTACATACTTTGTTAAAGTTAAATGTGAGCCTGCGCACATGATACCTTTGTCATGAATTTTAGTTTCATTCAATTGTTTTCCCTTAGATTTCAAACCTACAACATATTTCTCTTTATACTTTGTAAAATTCTGCTTTAACACAGTTGTATTATTGCGATGCACTTTCAACTAAAACATAATGCATTTATCAATATATCAGATACAAACTTTAATATAATTTATAAAATGTACATTATATATATAATTTTTGTTAAATACATATTATTTCCAACATCTAAATTATTTTAAGAAATATTTATCTATTGCTTCCAGTTGAAGGTGTTGTGTTATACAGAAAAGATGGCAATCCTTTACATAAAAAAATGTATCCAATAAAGAGAAATCTGAATTTTTATCTACTATGTTCCTACACTGATGTACAACTTAAAATAATTAAAAAAAAATTCGAAGGAATATTTATATAAAATAAACAATTTTAAAATTACTCATCAGAATAAAAAGGTAATTTTGTGAAAAAATAGAATATTATTGAGATAGAAATAAAACATAGGAATAAGTAACATCAAACTGTACGTTATCAATATTGAAATGTCATTATTTTTATTATTCCGTATATGAAATACATGCGTTTCTCTTTTGACTTACAATTAATTATAGTGTAGATGTAAATTTTCTGGATTATCAAATTGTAGTACAATGTTATTAAAAATAAAATAATAACGTTTTCTATATAACATTCGAAAATTGTACAATTATAAATTAGTATTTACTTGTTTGTCTCATAGTTATCAAACAAGATAAATATCCCATAGATGTTTTCATGATCTGTAGTAACAATAATAAACTATTTTTGAGGTTTCCTTTTAGTTATAACGAATTCACAATTAATAAATTTAAAAATATAAGTTTGAAAATATGAAATACAACTTACGCTGCCAAACAAAATCAAATTCAGAACACAAAATTTACCAGCTGTTATTGCCACTGGTTTGTGACCAGATTGCATTAGAAGAAGCAAACCTTTTACTTTTTGTGGAGGCAAGTGATACCATTCACAATCGTAAGCCGTTTGTGCGAAAGCAAAACTCTGAAAAAAGAAAAATTGCTGTATAATGATGAATTATTGCTAAAAATAATTTTATTTAGTAATGATTTTGAAGCTTGAATTTCACTCTTTTGATCATTCTGTCCTGCCTCTTACTAATTTCGTGGATATTAATTATGGATTCTGGAGTGCATACCACCTGTACTCTATAGTAAGAGCAGCTTTCTTTACTGCAAAGATATGTAGAGGATCTTTTACTAAAATGAATTCTAACGCTACAGTTGGCGTGGTTTTCACAGCTTCTGTGGTTCCTCCAAAAAACCATTGCCTGTAGTTCCAGTTTCTTTTTCGCCGTTATCAACTGGCTTCTAATCCACCAAACAACTACCGCCTGCAAAAATCTGGGTTTGAGTACTATTTGGTATAGCCGGAGAACCATATTCGGTTTTAGCTCCCATTATAATTTTATTGTTCTTCTTTAGATCCAAAAGGTAGTATAGAACTCCTCTAGCCATCTAGCTAAGTACGGCTTCGACGGAGACGCTAAGATGGGACATTACCGATGATGTATGAACGCACTACGCCTGCCAGGTGTTCACCATGTGAAATGGGACCCTCCCCGTGCAATGTGGCTGTGGAAGTCCGGCCGGAGAATTTGTCTTCCCGTATCCCATCGCGTGTCGTACGAGGCGACTAAAGAGGGAAATTTGAACGCAGTACGCCTCCTCGTCCGGAGGCAGGGTGAGACTAGTTGTGGTTTAAGACTGCGGTCTGACACTTCGATCTGGGAGCGGATGTTCCACGTGGTCCCAGTTGGAAGTGCAGGATTCTTGTCCTCGCTAACTCACGCCCACTCCTGTTGGGGTGTTATCGGGTCCAAGATGAATGTTACTAACCGTTCCGTCATTTCATTGGGCACCCTATTGTATGAGTGTGTGTGTGTGAATGAGTGTGTGTAACCTACCAGACCATCGGTGGGTGGAGCTTAGCTCGGAGACGGAACCTCCACGAGGTCCCCGCTGGTTACTTTGATTACCTTCTTCCGCTCAAGTTCTACTTGCACGGGCGAAGGGAATCAATGCTAACCGTCTGCTCCTGGAAGAGCAACCGGTCTTCTTCGCCGTTTTGGTCCTTAAGGACTTTACAATGGCAATTTTTCCCTCCTCTTTCCCCATGGTGCATCGGTAGCAAGGCGGCTTGCTAAATCGCCGCCGTTTCAACATGCCGGTAGTTCTTTCGTTAGAGGGTAGATATGCTTATTTTAAGATCGGGAGTTATAGTCCTTAAGGACCCAGGCATCCCAGTCGGCCTTGAGCTCGACGATAAGCGCATTCTGTATAGTTACATGATCTCCCATGGGACATAGAGACGAGAGTTAGTGCGCGGCCAGCACCGATGACAGAGAATTTCTTCCAGTCACCTTCCAATCGGCAATGCGATCGGCCTAAGTCACGATTGTTCCTTTTGGTAAAAAGAGAAACCTTCCCAATCCGATGGAAACTCTGCAGGTTTGCCGCCCACATTGAGTTAGTGCAACTCACACACCGAGTATAAAAAAACGAGTTCACCCCGAACAATTGAATCTAGCCTAAAGCGATGTAGACTGCAACCCTTGCCACTACGAATCCATGCCCAACGCCTGGCGGAGACCCCAGGCTCTAAAAGGCACCAGATGCTTCCCGTCGTACCATTAGACTCAGGTACGAGTACCTATGTCGTTACCGTTTACAAAATACAACTAAATGCACCACACAAAACGTAATGACCAATTGGAAGTAGTGATTTTTGAAAAATTCGGAACTACTTCAGGTCAAGACAAGCAGCACATGTGCCGAGGACACCATCCTTTACCATTGCCAGTTGGGACATCACTATTGAACCCACTCGGGATTTTTAGGATGCATATTGAAACATGCGATTGATTCTAAAAACTCGTAACCTTCGCGCTACCGGGAGCCACCCGGTGTGACCCAGCGTCAAAGAATGTTTAAAATCTACTCGAGTTTTGCATCAATTACTAAAATTACCACTTTCTATTATTATTTCTAAAATACATTACTTGTATTTACATACAATTATAATGAAAAATCATGATGAATTTATGTTTTTGTGCAACAAAGGCAGACTGAGACTTTAGTGTGAAAGCAGAACCTCCACGTGGTCCCTGCTGAATGTACACGAGTCTTGTCCACGCTAACTCCTTTTGAAGTGTTATCGGAGTCAATACGACTGCAACTAACTACTTTGCCATTTCATTGGGCTGACTTTTCTTCCACTCTAGACATCATTTATTTTGTGGGTAAATAAGAAGGCATAACAAGGAATTCTATGTCGTAAGAGGTATTTTTCTATCCCTGCGAAAAGGATAGGCTCTTTCAACTTTGCTTTTTATTCAGATATACCCCCAGATACTTCACCGAGTCAGAAAAAGAAATTTCCTTTCCATAAAATAATAGTTTCTTTAATTTAGGAACCTTGTATTTTCTAGTGTATATAACGATATCCGTTTTTTATGGATTGACAGAAAGTCTAGTCCGATCGCACCACCTCTTAACGATCCCTAGGGCCCTTTCTATTAGTTCTAGAAGCGTCTCAACCGAGAATCCTCTTAAGATAATTATGAAATCATCAGCTTAATATTGCCTACAATAAATTGGACTATTGAGTTCCTTTTAGTAACTCATCTGCCACTAAGCACCATAGTCCTTTTTCACAAAATCTCACTTTAATCTATTCATTATTTTAACAAAAACTGACCAACAAAATTAATATTAGGAACCTAATAATCACATACTGTTAATGACAGAGGCACAGAAGTATAAAATTAGTAAAATCATTTCACATTTATCGCAGAAAATTATAATAAAATATAGAAACTGAATTATAATGTCTTTAAAATTACTCACTTCCATCTGAAGTTGTTCTCCCAAATAACAATATACGTAAAAATTTCCAATCATATAAACAAGAAATATTATTATAAAAAGGATAGATAATAACATTGAACTGGATTTTCTTTCTGTTACATACTGAAAATGGGAAAACAATCATAATTCAAATACAAGTTTATAATTAAATTAATGTAGAATTTTTATGTATATAAGAAGATATATTATGGATATAAAAATATACTTACCAAAACAAGCATAAATCCCTGCAAACAAAATTGAATACTGCAAGCTAGTAATTGGACCAGGAACATCAAATAAAAAGTATTCTCCAATATTGCTATACAACTAAATATTTTCTATTAGTTTTGATATATAGTAAAATACAACTCCTAATCAAATATTTTTTATTGTAATAAATTAACCTTTAGATATAATAACCAAAACAAAATCTAGAGTAGAAGCACCAATTACCGAATGTACTCCAATTGTCAAGGTTTTTATTTCACTTTTTGAGAAAATTACCTTTTTAGGGTTTCATGGCCCAGGGCCGAAAACCTGATAGTTTCGCTTTGGCGTCCGTCCGTCCGTTCGTCGTACACTCGTATAGTTTCCATGGCAATCGTATCCATAGAAACCATTACCATAGCAACCATTACAATGGCAACCGTTTCCATGGCAACTGTTTCCATAGTAACCGTTCCCATAGCAACCATTACCATAGCAACCATAGCAATTCACAAATAATGTAATTATAAATTATTTATTATATACAAATAACTTTTGATCTGAATTTAAAAAGCCACGAAACCCTAGATATAGGCCTAATTTTTTTAAATATGTATAATCATTATTTTAATTATAATAAAATGATTAAATATCACATCAAAGATTTCCGAAAATATTCCTCTGAGTGTTAATAAATTGATTGATAATTTTGACTGATTTTTTGACATACCTCTTTTTTAAATAATTGTAACGGAATCAATTCGCTGTCATGCTCAAAATCTTGAACCTCATCATTTCAAAATGGAAGAATTGAATACCTCGTACTGTTGAAGAATTACGAAAAGTTTACGCCATCTCAATTTTAATGGGACAAGTTCAAAAAGGAAATTTGGAAGATTATTGGAGTACTGATCCTTTAATGTCAACTCCAATTTTCAAAGAAGTGATGATCAGGAATCAACATTTGCAAATTTTGAAATATTTACATTTTCAAAATAATCTTTTTCCTCTTAGATGACTTTAAGCCTAACCGAGTGTCAGAACTACAATTTTCAAAATAATGAATGTTCTAATGGTAGAGAAGAACATGATATCGAGAACATTAACACAGACAATTGTCCTTGATAGCAACAGTCCGAAAGTCTATAAAGTGGTATCAAAAGTTATCCTTTTATTTGATTGATTTAGCCCTAACTCCTAGGGATACCAAGTTTCATGTAAATCAAACTTTTCTTAAATCCACTATTTTAAATTTCTGATTTTAAATTTCTAATTATTGACATATCTTATTCTCCTTTGAGATAAGAAATGACAAAGCATTATCTTATTCCCTCGACAATTGGAGCACAATAGAAAGCTTATGATTCTTGGAGGTAAATATTAATGGCTTTCTAGAGGTTAATAAATATACAGTAATTGCAATAGTCTAATTTTCAAATTGATTAAGATAAGAAATAATAATTGAAAATTAAAATAATGCAAAATAAAAGAATTCTTTTTTTAATATCCAGTAACATTAAATTCAAATAGTTCATTAATTGTCGACTAATGACTTTTTGATAATCATAAGTTAATTATACATGATGCGAATCGACGTAGAATAAGTCTACGTCCTACTATAATTATAATTTGACTTAAATAAATAAATAATATGAAAATATAATTTATAAACCTGTTTAAATGATCGTGAACATTAATAATGTGGCTAAATTTTTTATCAAATTCATAATCAATTTTTGTAATTTTGAAATTATTGACGAGCCTTAAGAGTTGTAAACGTAAAATATGATATTCTCCAGAAAGATGTAAAACAATTTGACTGAAGAAACCATCTGTACCAGTATAGGCTACCGTTGCAAGAAATGTACCAAAGTATTCAATAATACATGTTACTTCAAAAACTGGACTATAATTCCAAACAAATGGATAATAAGCTTCAACATATAATGTATAATTTTTGAAATGATGTTGATTATTCCAATCATTTAAATTTTCAAATATCCATTGAATTAAACGAGCTATCATAGTTGCATGTCCCAAGAACATACATAAAAGTGCAATTTTTTTACCCTTGTCACCGTTTTTTATCATTATTTCTATTTCTTCATTAGTTTTATTTTTTTCCCAATGATTAATCATGTAGTGATAGAGAATTGTCATTTCTAATGAAACAAAAATTAAATAATTTTATACAAAATAGAATATTTTTTTAAAAATATAGTATTATCACAATATTTAAGTGCAAAATAAAAAAATATTTATGTGCTGTTACTTTTAAATAATACAAACTTTCTTTATTATAATATAGTACGCTCATTTTTGTTAATGCTACCAAATATGGTAATTCTGCAGTAGAAACAATTTGTGTTATAAGGTCGAGATTATTTCGAACTTGAATTAACTTGATGCCTTGTGGTATGACAACACTAAAAATCATGATTATGATACTGACGAAGAACAAGATTTTTGATAATAATTTATTTTTATGAGATGGCCATGCTCCAAACCATGATAGACTTATACGAGAAAATTTCGTCAAAACCTCCAAGGCTAGAAACAAATATTAAATAATAAAACTGTCCTAATACGTTGGGAAATAGTTTTAAATTTAATTAATTAAATAAAAAAATAATTAAACAATTCAATTCTGTTGGTGACAAATTAATTAAATAATTAATTAAATTACTTTTTTCAATCCATTTGAAACAAATAATTTCTCTTAAGTTTAAAATTATTAAAAATACAAAAAAGAAGAATAAGACACTGTTATTATAAATAAATATTTTTGTTCTCTCTTGGCTGGATATGTCCCCTCAATGAAACATTGAAAAATAATAAAGAAAATAATAATAATATTATTAACTAAAAGTGAAACACTTTTTTTATACACACCATTTTCACCATTCATTTTTATCTAAAGCAATAATCAGTTAATCTTTCTATTTATTTATTTATTTTATTTAAAACATAGTACCACATGGAATAAATTAAATTCAATTTTTATTAATTAAATATAAATAATTTTTAAAGAATCCATAATATATAGGAATAAAATTATATATCAAAAGAAAATATTTAATAAGTAAAATTTGAATAGTACGTACTAGATGTGGAGATTGAAATATTGTGAGGAACAATATTCTAAACAAAGAAATATTAAGGGAATTGTTAATGACATGTCATTAGAGTAATGTGCTTTATTAAAGTTAAATGTGAACCTGCGCATGTGAAACTTTCATTATGAATTTTAATATCATTCCATTGTCTTATCTTAGACTTCAAACCTAGAATCTATATTTTTTTTAATTATATTTATTTTATTTACCCAGAGAAACAAGTGTACTAATCTTTATTTACGAGAATGACGTGCTGGAATTATATTTGATCAAAATTCACCTCCATGAAGATGGCTTCGACGCTCAGGATCAAAAATCATTTTTCTTCGTAGGATCAAAAAATTAAATGATTTTTTCAAAGATTTTAGGGGGATTTAATTAGATATTCAGGAGTGGGATTACAAATAGCGACAGCGCTACGAAGATTTCGCTACGTAGCGATTCAAAGCTACATTCACTTTAAAAAATTTTCTTGCTATCGGGTGACTAAAAAAAATGGTATCATTTTGATAGATTTAGGTTGGTACAATTGTTTTTCTGTGTATTTTTTTTCTCATATTTGCTTTATTTTATAATTTAACAATTTTTTTTAAAATCAAGAATGTATCAAATTCATAAGGATTTCCCACGATGAAGAAATGAAGCAATTAAAAGAAATATCTAAAAGCCTAACAAATTTTTCAAGTGTAACAATCTCAAAAGTTATAAAAAAGGCAATTTGAGGCAACGATAATTATTAATATTATTATATTAACACTTTTATTTCTGAATTTTAACCTTAAATTTTTTTATAATTAATAATTATAAAGATAAACTAAATAAAACATAAGAATAATAAAGAAATAAAGAAAACATTTATTTTAAATTTCTATCCTTACAAAATGTCAAGAAAATAATTCAACTTTATCCAATAATAATAAATTATTTACTTTTCTTTTTTATATTAATAATTAAATATTTATTGCATTTATATTTATTATCTTTTTCATAGGATTAAAAGTTTCTATTAGACATTGTCTAAAATAGGGAAAAAATTTAATTTAAAAAATTTTGAAGATATAACCTCGGAAATAGAATTTTTGTTCTCACGCAAGGTTTCACTAAAAAAATGTATAGGGCATTTTTTGTGAGTTAAAGAGTTTTTCATGAAATGCAAATTTAAATCAATTTAATTAAAAAAATTTATCAATTTTTAAATTTAGGCTGGTAAAGAATATCCTAATTTTAAATCTCATGCAATTATTATGTTAAATTCTTGCAATAAGATTAATTTTCTTAATTTTTATTTATTAAATTAAATAAAAAAAATTTATTTCCTTTATAAATTATTTTAACATTAAACTAGATAATTTATTTTTAAAGTTGTTATTTATTAAATTAATAGGTTATTTGCAATATTAAAGTATAATTTATTTCGTCACTAGTTAATTATTTTATTTGAAACTAACAGTTGGCAAACATGAAGTTAGAGAATTGTTTCCACCTTCGTGTAGTATTTGTTTGCTACGTAGATAAAACCTTTTAGGAAATTGACATGAATTCTATGTCAAAGGTCTTATCCAGTAGGGTTATGTTTATATTCTCTTTGGAATTACGATCTTGCAGTTTAAGTTTTGAAAAAACTGTCAACGCTATTTTATTTTGGACATCATTTAGAACAAATTTGACTAAAAATATGTAAGTTTTTAACCCTAAATAGCGAAAAGCGCTACATAGCGACTAGCGCTATTCGTAATCCCACTACTGTTGTATTAAGATAGTTTTAGTTAAAACATAATGCAAATAAATAAATTTTGCAATATATATTTTATTTTTTTTAAATATTTCTTTTTGAAAATTTATTTGTTCAAAAATTTTATCCTTGATGTAATAAAAATTGAAATCGCTTAATTTTAAGAAATCTAAATGTAAAACAATAATTATTCATTTCAGATAATTATTTGACAATAATGAAAATTTAAAAGACGATGAAATTTATTTATTTGTTTCAAAATTAATAATTATAATATAATTGATTAAATTAAAAAAGTATTAATAACTGTAGAAAAGTAAATTTTAAAATAAGTTTCTATTTATTTTATTTTTATTTCGCAACTACAATAAATTAAAGATTGCACAATTTTTATTTACATAATTAAGATGCAAGAGAAAATTTTGTATTTTAAATATTAATCTTTTATCTCGCGTATCTATAAAATTACATTCTTTCCTACCTGGAAATTATTTGACAATAATTATTTCAAAAAGTTTCATTAGCAAAATGATTTCGTGTATTATGATATAGAACTACTTAATAAATAATATTAATTATGTTAAAAATAACTTCATTTTGCAAAAATATAAATTTACATATATTCATTTCTCATACTTCATTTTTATTTTCAATTTCTTATCCAGTAGTAGTGAACATTTTTTATTTATTTTTACAATATTACACTTTTTATACTAAATGCTTATTCACGTTGCTATCAAAAAATTGACAAATAAATCCATTGATGTTTCAATGATATGAAATGCCAAAGAAGAAGATTCATTTTTTTCTTATCGTCATTGTCACCAAAAATGATAAATAACCCATTGATGTTTTGATAATCTAAAATTAAATAAATTTAAATTGAGCAGAAAATTTATTTGCTTCTTTGTCGTTATTGGTAATTTTTTAAAGTTGTATTAAGTACTGAAAAGTGCTTACTCAGAAAACAAATTAGTTAAATCACCTATAAATATTTTCATGTTATATAAGTTCAATTTTAAAATTAAATAAAATTTTGTACGTCAAATTGTTTAGTTTAAATGAAACAAATTTTTCTTTATCTTTGGGTTGATCAAGTTAATGTGACACTTCACAACAAAAGGTACCTTACAATTTTTTTTAAGTTTTTAATGCCAATCGACAGATTTTGCGTTGCACTTTCACATGCAAAAGTCAAAAATTGATATTATGTCTAGCAAATTTTTCACAAACTTCTCCTCACTACTCAAGTTTCACGTTTCTGCTGTTACTTTAATTGCTTGCCCTGTAAAATTCACGTTTGGGAGTACCAAACCTGTTATATATAAAAAAAACCACACGCCAATGAATATCCACTGTCAAGAATCGTTTATATTCTTGACATATCTTGTCGCGGTGGCAAGACTTTTCATTAAAGGACATCTAAGGAACAAGATTATTTGTGGGGTGACACATGTCTTGCGGTACTTGAAATCGTCGTCAACGGCGATAAGGGAAGAAAATGAGGCAGAACACCTAGCATCTTTAGTGTAAGTAGTAGCGTTAGTTCTGTCAGCTTGGTATAATCAAAGATAGACACGGAGGCGATCAGCGAAGTGCAGTAAAGCTGCGCTAATTTGAGAGGAGAGGAGGCAGAAATTCTGACCAGAATGGAGAAAGAGGTCCTGAAAATGTTGAAAGTTCAGAAAACGTTAACCTTGCGATAAAGAACGGGTTGAAAACCCTTAAAGCCATTATCGAGAAGGCAAAGACTAAACATTAAGAAACAGATGCCAACGACAGGCATTCGAAGTGTATACTGTATTTACAGTTGGTGACAAACAAACTCTAGAGTTATAACGGAGGGCCAAAGAAGAAAAAGGAGGAAGCACCTTTAAAAAAAAGTACGAAATGAAGGCACCGGAACCACAACATCCTGTCAAGAAGAAGAAGGCAACAAAAGATCAACGATGGTCATCCAAATCCATCAAGGAAGATCTTATGCTGGCGTTTTGAGTAAGCTTCGCAAGAAAATCATCAGCTACACGAAAATGATAGCTGATAGAGTAACTAAAAAGGTTTACCTTTTGATTAAAATCGAAGACTACACGCATTGTTAAGGGGACGAAAAAGCATGAAAGAAGCTTAAGTAGTCCAAAGGTGGCGGAGGGCAGAAAGAGGACCTTCAGAAAGAAAGGACGCTAAGGCAACGGAGGCACCAAAACCATAATGTCCTGTTATGCGCGTTCCACACTTAAACCTTTTGGAGAACCAACACGACGCGACGTGCCCCCTCCAGTGACTCTGCGCGTAGGGGAAGTGAGTGTTTCTCAGTAAAATGCTTCTCGCTTTAAATCATCTTTAATATAATAAATAAATTATTATTCTTATGACAACAATTAAATCATATGTTAAATTTAATGGATTTAATATGTTTCAGAAAATTTTGGGAATATTTAATTCAATTAAATTTGACATTTAATCAAGTATTAATTGATAAATTTTTTTAATGGAATTAATTATTATTGGTTAAAAGAACATTTGTTTTAATTTATTGCTAATAATAAATTTTCTTTTTTAAACATGTATTTTTCATAAATTAATTTTATATACATATACAAACAGTAATAAATAATATATTAGGTAGGCGTTTTAAAAATATATGTATAGGTGGCTTTTAATAAAAATAGCGTTATTTATTTATGATTTTACGAAATTTTCATTTTACTGTATTTAAAAATGAATAGTTTTAAATTTCAGAAAAAATATTACATTTCGACATAAATTATTTTTATTTTTACATTTAAATTTTAAAATGAAATTATTCTATTAAGTTAATGTTACTTGATAGAAGAAAATGTTATTTGTTTTAAATACAAAAATAAATCGGTATGAATACAGTTAATTTATTATAATAGTTAATAATTGGTTAAAATAAATAATCACTTAATTCAAATTCACAAAATTTTCTGAAACATATTAAATCTTTTAAATTTAACATATGATTTAATTGTTGTTATAAGAAGAATAATTTACTTTTTATATTAACGATGATTTAAAGCGAGAAGCATTTAACTGAGAAACACTCACTTCCCCTATGCGCAGAGTCACTGAAGGGGGCACGTCGTTAATTTAGCCAGGTAAACAAAGTAAAAACCTGGGCTGATTTTGATCCGCAGCAAAAATTAACCAATACTAAAAGACATAGAATGTGGCGCAACCTACTTGACTTATTTTTGCTGCGGATCAAAATGCTCCTGCTGGCTGGATCATTTTGTGCCCAGGTTTTTACTGTGAATTTACACCATGTTGTAATTAAAATATAACGAAATGTTTGAGTGATTCCACTAAATTGTTTACAAGATGTTGTTATTTTTAACAAAGGATGAAAATTAAAAACTTACGTTTTGAAACAAAATTAAATTGAGAACGCAAAATTTTCCCGCTGTTACTTGTACGGGTTTATGTCCACTCTGCATGAGCAAAAGAAGACATTTTGCTTTCTTAGGAGGTAGATTGTACCACTCACAATCATAAGCTGTTTGTGCGAATGCAAAACTCTAAAAAAAATACAAACATTACAAAAAGAAAAAAACATGCAAAAAATTATCTTTTTAGTCTAAAGGATAGAATAAAAAAAAATAAATTACTGATTAAAACCCAATAAATACTTTTTTCACTATACAATGCAAATTGTTTTTACAACAAAATGTTAGATTGAAATTATTTACTTGTATCTGAAGCTGTTCACCCAAATAACAATACACATAGAAATCTCCAATCATATACATAAGATATACTACTATAAAAAGTACATCTAATATCACGGAACTCGAATTTTTATCTGTTACATACTTAAAATAAAAATACAGTAATTAAAATTCAAAATAGAATTTAGAATTTAATTAATTTAGAGAAAATATGAAATAGTTACTTTTTTTTATAAAGATAGAAATATATACCTACCAATACAAAAAGAAAACCCTGCATACAAAATTGAATACTGCAACCGAGTAATTGTACCAGAATCATCAAATTATATGTACTTTCTAAGATTCCGATACAACTAAATATTTTCCATTAGTTTTTGTATGATATAATATATTTTCTACTTAACAAAATATATAATTGCTAATTGTAAGTCAAGTGATTATTGTAATCTTAATTTTTTTAACAGACATTTTTATCGTAAAACATTAAATGAATTGAGATGAGTTTTTGTGGAGCAGTCTAAAACATGATGGAAAAAAGCAGTGATATGCCAAAGTGTTAATAAATTTTTTGTGGAATTAATTAGAATAGAGTGAAATGAAAAAACCATTTGATATTATGGATTCAAAATCAAAGTAAAATTAATTTCATATCGTTTTCACCAATTTTAGTGTATTATTGTTAATTTCATGTCTTCAGTATGCCCTTTTTAGTTAAGGTCACAATTATTTGTAAAATATAATATAAAAACAAAATTTAACAACCTGTTAATATGATCGTGTACATCAATGATGTGGCCCAATTTTTCATCAAACTCATAACCAACTTTTGTATTGATAATGTCCATGAGTTTTAAACCTAAAATAATATATTCTCCAGAAAGATGTAAAACAATTTGACTGAAGAAACCATCAGTACCAGTATAGACAACAATTGATAAATATGTGCCAACAAATTCAATAATACAACTTAATTCAAAAATTGGACTATAGTTCCAATTATATGGAAAATATGCTTCAATATATAATGTATAATTTTTGAAGTGATCTGGATTATGCCAATTACTTAAATTTTCAAATATCCATTGAATCAAACGAGCAATCATGGTCGCAAATCCCATTGACATACAAAAAATTGCAATTTTTTTACCCCTATAACCCTCTTTCATCATTATTTTTATTTCATCATTACTTCTATTTGTTTTCCAATTATCAATTATGTAGCCATAAAGAATCTTTATTGCTGATAAAAGAATTGTAATTAATGTTAGGAGAATAAGTACACATAAATATCTGAAGTAATATTACTATCTCAATATTGTTGTGCAATCCACTTGGAAAGATTCCCCGGAAAGTGCCCCCTGGAGGTTCTATCAGAATTCCGCCGGAACTTCCAACGTAATTCCGTCGGAATTCCATTGGAGTTCCAAAGAATTTCCGATGGGACTCCGACGGAGTTCTGACGGAATTCCTATTAATTTTTTTCATAATTTTTAGAGTCTTAAATCCATCGGAATTCCGTTAGAATTACGTTCCGTTTCCGACGGAATTACGTTGGAAGTTCCGGCGGAATTCTGATAGAACCTCCAGGGGGCACTTTCCGGGGAATCTTTCCAAGTGGGAAAGTTCAATATATTGACAATATCAGACAGAAAAAACTTGGACTCATTTTTTGTTACAATTCATTTTAAGTTTGTCATCGAATTGAGTAAGTGACCAATTTCAAATTATATTTAAAATGATCCTGACCGGAAATTTAGATTTTTAAGTCAGCATCATTTGCAGAATAATTTTGAATTATAATTATTTTTTTATGCGTTTCAAACTGAGTATCATACTCTACTTAAATTGATATCAGGTTTTTCCTGTCGCATATTGATATAATATTTAAATGATACAAACTTTCTTTATTATAATATAGTATGCACATTTTTATCACAGCGACCAAAAATGGCAATTCTGCAGCACAAACAATTTGAGTTATTAGACGGAGATTGTCTCGAACTTGAATCAACTTTATACCTTGTGGTATGATAATTGTAAACATTAAAATCATAAAACTGATAAAAAACAAGACATTTGATAATGTTTTATTTGTTTGCGATGGCCAAGCTCCAAACGTTTTTAGACACATACGAGAGTACTTCATCAAATCCTCAAAGGCTATAGAAAAAAAACAAGTATGAAATGAAAAAAAATCTAAAACTTTAGAATGAAATAAATTATTTTCAAAAATACACTCTTTAAATCTAAATAAGTTCCAAAACGTTCCAAAAATTTTCATGTACAATGTCTGCTATAGCTTTTTTAATTGAAATTATTTCATTTTATTTATTGGATATTCAAATTTGCATATAATTTTTCAAATTGCTTAACAATAGCACTGAATTTACAAATTAAAATATTTATTCCTGGGGTAGGATTCGAACTTGGGACCCTTAGCGTTACAAGCCAACGTTTAACCACTATGCTAAGCAACTTATGTTGAGGAACTAATAGTTCGACTCCTTAATTTACGTGAACTTTATAATCAGTATAAATGTTTTAAATGTTAAAAAAAATTAATTTCTTAGTTCTTACTAAGAATTAAAAATTTGTACGAAATTACATTTTTTTTAAATTTGTATTACGGGAATCAGATAACATTTATTAAAAAAGAAGATTAAACATTTAATTTCTAAGTTTAGAATTTTTTTTTTAGATTTCAATTTAAAAAATATTTAATAGAAAAAAATTTAAACCGTTTTTCGAAATTTTAACATTTTTAAAACTTTTTTTTATATAAGTACTTGAGAGAATTTTAATTTCTAAAAAAAATTATTGTTGCGTGTCCAAAAGATGTTAACTCACTTTTTAAGTTGTATATCAATTGGCCAGAGACTAAACGGTTTAGGATATCTCAAAAATAATTTATTTACGTCCTTAAGGCCAGGTTCAAGTGAGGCAGCGCCATCTACATTGAAACTAAAATTTTGGAAAATTTTCAACAGCCTTTTCTTGAAAACAAGAAGGTAAAATTCTTTTTCCTTTATGGATAATTGATTATTGGCAAGATATACACCAGCTAAAACGTTTTTTGAGTTAAAATAATAAAAAAAATTTCATGTCAATAAATTAAATATGAGCACTTTTTTCACAAAAACTGTAACAGTACTTTCTCAGAAATTACAATCAAAAATGCAATTTCCATTTGGAAAATTAATAAACGCTAAAAAATACACGATCTAAGATTTACCAATCACGAAAATAACAAAAAAAAATTTATTAAATATTTAACATATTGATACTGCTTTACTGATTGTGACAGCCCTTTGGTAGATTATGTATTTCAGGTGGTTAGCAACAGCGCCAATCTCCTCGTTCGGAAAAACTGCGAAACGTCTGGTGACATATATAACCTGCCAAACAGCTGTCATAATGAGTAAAATATGTTATGTTAAAATACTTTTTTTTTGTTATTTTCGTGATTGGTAAATCTTAGGTCGTGTATTTTTTAGCGTTTACTAATTTTCCAAATGGAAATTGCATTTTTGATTGTAATTTCTGAGAAAGTACTGTTACAGTTTTTGTGAAAAAAGTGCTCATATTTAATTTATTGACATGAAATTTTTTTTATTATTTTAACTCAAAAAAAGTTTTAGCTGGTGTATGTCTTGCCAATAATCAATTATCCATAAAGGAAAAAGCATTTTACCTTCTTGTTTTCAAGAAAAGGCTGTTGAAAATTTTCCAAAATTTTAGTTTCAATGTAGATGGCGCTGCCTCACTTGGACCTGGTCTTAAGAAAGTTCTATTGCTTGACTCAACTAGTCAAAACAATAACCAATTTTTTTCTGATTTGATTCACTTTGTAAATTAGAAAGTCTGGCAACACTGCTTATATTATTATTATTATTATTAAGACGGACAGAGGAAAAAGGAACTCACAGCCGGGGTAGCTCAGGGATCAGTCCTTGGAGCGGATGTCTGGAACATATCTTACGACGGTATCCTACGAATAAGTATGCCAGAAGGGTCCTTTCTTGTTGGATATGCAGATGATGTTGCAGCAGTGATTATTGAAAAGAACATAGAGCACGCACAAATGCGTCTTAATCAAGTTATGCGAAGGATTCACTCATGGATGGATAAGCATGGATTGGAACTGGCCCTGTCCAAGACAGAAATAGTTCTATTGACGAAAAAGAGAATAGAATTCCCTATGTCTATGAGAATGAGAGAAACTGAGATCCCGATAAAGAAGGCTGTTAAATATGTTGGAGTGATGGTCGACACTAAAATGACTTTCTGGGAGCATATAAGAAGAGCAGCAGAGAAAGCAGCTGAAGTCACTACATCTCTGGGAAGACTAATGACAAATATTGACGGCCCTACTCCTAGTAAAAGACGCCTTATACAACGCACAGCAGAATCTATCATGCTCTATGGAAGCGAAAACTACGCAGAAAGTTTAAAGTATGAAAAATATCGAAAACGCATTGCGGGAGTTCATAAAACAGGTGCTTTGCGCGTAACCTGCGCTTATAGGACAGTGTCAGAACCAGTAGTAATGGTGATAGCAGGTATTATATCCATAGATTGAATCGCTCAGGAACGAAAATTCGTCTATGAAATGAAGTCTGTTCATGGTAAAGAAAAGGCGAAAAAAATAGCTAGAGAACGTACAATGGAAAAATGGCAAGATCGATGGGACAACGAATCAAGGGGCAGGTGGACCGCACGTGTATTAAAAGAAATTCCCTTGTGGACTAACCGGAAACACGGAGAGGTAAATTTTTATTTGACTCAATTCCTGACAAATCATGGTCTTTTCAATAAATATCTCTGTAGAATGCGTAAGGTTCCAAATAATCAATGCATCTATTGAAACTGCCAGATAGATAATGCTGAACATACATTCTTTGTATGTGAAAAGTGGAAGGAAGAAAGGCAAGCAATAGAAAAAATAATCGGAAATTTTAATCCAGATACAGTAGTGCAGCATATGCTAAGAACAAAAGAAACATGGGATCTTATTGCAGAGTAAGTAGAAAAAATACTTCGACGAAAAAGGAATAACTTTCAAAAAATAACAAAACATCATTGACTAAAAAAAAAAAAAAAAAAGAAGAATGAAGAAATAAGGAGAAAATGAGGGAAGCCAAGTAGGCAAAAAAATAGGCAGAGTCGAGGCACGACCAAAAGACGCCGATAACCACGACACCTGAAGTAATGCGAAAGCGGTTCCGGGAGTCATGCGAGGCGAAGAGTGAAGGGATGTTTTTTATATGGACATTGTAAATGTATAATTCTGTATTTTTACCATAACCCTTAAAAAAAAAAAAATTATTATTATTATTATTATTATTATTATAGGATTAAAAATTTGTAATATTAATACATATTAATTAAGTATTAATATAATATAATAAATTAATAATTAAATATAATATTACATGTATTATTTTCCATAATTTATCTTATTTATATACTTCAATTATTTCAAGTATTGTATGTTTTTTTTAAATAACGCGCGCTTGAGTATATTCTAACCTCAAAACTTTGACGCGCGGAATACCGTGTTGCCAGACATTGAAAGTTTTGCTCGCTGTATCATAAAAAATAAAAAAAAATTTATAAATTAATTAATTTGAACTCTCACAGGTACCTATTGTCCTTTTTTAAATACAGTGAAAAAAGAAAACGAATATAATTTTTTTCTCAAGAACCTACAGGTCTCAAAAATTTAACTACATAATTTTAGAAGCATTATTTAGTAGTACACCAAGTATTATCGAAATCTGTTTGTTTATTCGATTATCCATAGAACCTCCTTAACACATATGTATAGTCAATGGAGACGAGTTTGAAACATTTTTGAAACGATCTACCGATATCTTTTGTCAAATTTTTAAGGAACGTACATAAAAATACGTTTCTCGAACGTATTTCGAATTCTTGTATACACACCTTTTTCACCATCCATTTTTATTCAAAGCAATCTTATCAGTTAATCTTTTTTAATTTTTTTGTTAGCGTCATATATATATATATATATATATATATGTAATTTTTTAAAATTTATTTTATATTCCCATGAAATAAATTTGGAATCAATATTTATTGATTGAAAGAAAAATAATTACTAATATCAATAATAGGACAAAAAAGGAAATAATATTAAGAAATAATATTTAATTCAGTAAAATTTAAATAGTATGTACGTAACAACATGGAAGTATATGGATATACATTTGTAAGTATGGAAGTTAAAGTTTAGTGATAAACAATATTTCTAAACAGAGTAATACTGAACGAATCTATATTTCTGTGGAAATAAAAAAGAAGAAAGTTTTAAATATACCAGAGTTTTGCATTTTACAAAGTTAGTTAATGACCGCAGTCATTAGAGTTACTCGTACTTTGTTAAAGTTGAATATGAGCCTGCGCACATGATTCTCTTATTAAGAATTTCAGTTTCATTTCATTGTCTTCCCTCAGACTTTTTAAATCTAGAATATAATTCTCTTTATTTTATAAAAAAATCTTTTTTATTTTATATAACAGTTGTGTTGCGATTATTTCAACTAAAATATAATGCAATTAAATTAATATACTTTTTAGAGGATTTGTTTTTTTTTCATTTTTCTTTCGAAAATAATTTATTTGATTAAAAATGTTTTTATCCTCTCGCAATATAATTAAAATTGAAATCGTCTAATTGAAAGAAATCTAAAGGAAAAAGAAATAAATTTTTAAGTTTTAAATTATTATAAAATAGGCAATTTTAATTTATTGATACTTATCTTCAATTTTTCTTTAAAGGCACAAACTTCTACATAAATAAATAGAGTAAAATTGGTGAATTAATTTTGTAATAAAATTTGCAAAAGATACAAAAAGATAACAGAATAAAATGACAATATAACTTGTGCTTCTTTTACATTTTAAAGGAATCCGACAGTGATCTGAGATTAAAAATAATAAATCTCATTTATTTTTCACCGGATCTGCATAAAAATTTACAGACACACTTCTAAAAACATATATATATAGTTTAAGAAAATGCAAAAAAATAATCGATTTTTCAAAAGTTACAACTGGTGTACCCCCCCCCCTAAAAATGTTGTGGATAAATTTAATTTAATCTCAATTTCAATAAATAAATATTTAGAAGAGTGCGA